TGTGATGTGGCTCTGATCACAGCCCGCTCTTTTTTATGGGGTTGAAGGTACAACGCAGCGCTCCGTTTGATTGGACGACGTTTGTAACCGCAGACGTCGTGTTGTCTGTAATTCATGTCTGTCATTAACAGCAGCTAATGGACGTCACGTTAGCATCTATAGCATTTAATCAGCAGCTTGGCGTCTGTGTGGGTTGGCAGCGCGGCCTTAATTATAATGGATCACAGAGACGGCGAAGACGGCGAAGACGGCGTGACTCACGATGTCTGCTGTGAACGTCTTCCTTGTCCACAGACGGAGGAGACGGAGGAGACGGAGGAGTCATGTGATTCATCAGCGTCTGTGTCCAATTAAAACACTCCTTCATTCCTTCACCTTCTACTGTTTGGTCCAGATTCAGGGGGGGGGCAGTCCTCGGGGGGGTTCTGGACTCGTCAGGTTTTGGACTCGTCAGGTTCTGGACCCGTCAGGTTCTGGACCCCTCAGGTTCTGGACCAAACCCATTATTTCAATGAAACTGTGAACTGAATCCTGAAGAATTCCATGAAGGTCACATGATTAGCCTCTTGATGCTAAGATGCTAAACCTGTAAATGGTTCTTGTGTTAATGGAAACTCTGTTTGAACTGCTGTGACTGATGGTGGTTCAACGTAGAACCATCGGTTCCAGAACTGGATGGATGGATGGATGGATGGACAGATGGATGGGCGGATGGATTGATGGATGGATGGATGGACGGATGGATGATGGGTGGGTGGATGGATGGACGTATGGATGGATGGACGGAAGGATGGACGGATGGATGGATGGATGGATGGACGTATGGATGGATGGACGGAAGGATGGGTGGATGGATGGATGGATGGATGTCTTGATTTTCAGCATTGCACTGAAATACTAATCAATAATGAATGAACAAAATGAAAGTGAATAAATCAGTTGTGCAGAGAGAAGGTCTGAGAAGATGGAGGAGCAGACTGTGGAGACCTGCAGCTGGATCATCATGTCAGTCCACTGAGGGACGGCTCCACCTCCACCTTCATTTCCTCTGATGCTGTGGTGAGTGTGAACGATGGAAATGTTCGCTCTTCTTTGATTTAAAGCTTTGATTTTAGCGACAGAGAAGGATTTGGAAACAGCTGAAGGAACATGAAGCTCAGTGAGACATGGACACTTCAGGGACCGGGGGACATCAGTGTGGTACCGACCAGGACACTGGAACCTGGAACCTGGAACCTGGAACCCCCCACCCCCACAGCCCCACATACATCCCCTCTAGTGTCCCAGGTGGACTGCAGCCCAGTGTCCCTGGTGGACTGCAGCCCAGTGTCCCTGGTGGACTGCAGCCCAGTGTCCCTGGTGGCATGCAGCCCAGTGTCCCAGGTGGACTGCAGCCCAGTGCCCCAGGTGGACTGCAGCCCAGTGCCCCAGGTGGACTGCAGCCCAGTGCCCCAGGTGGACTGCAGCCCAGTGCCCCAGGGGGACTGCAGCCCAGTGTCGCTGGTGGACTGCAGCCCAGTGTCCCTGGTGGACTACAGCCCAGTGTCCCAGGTGGACTGCAGCCCAGTGTCCCTGGTGGACTGCAGCCCAGTGTCCCAGGTGGACTGCAGCCCATTCTCTGGTATCACTTCAGGCCAGAGTTGACTGAATCATCTTCTAATTCAATTTGAGTCCTTGGTTTGAATGACCTTCTAGAAGACTCTCCCCTGTAGATTAATAAGGCTCTTCTTACACTTCATTCACCCCAGTGTCTTTATATGGTATAATACAGACTGGACCTCTGACCTTCACCTCCTCTGCCCTTCACCTCCTCTGACCGTCACCTCCTCTGACCTTCACCTTCTCTGACCGTCACCTCCTCTGACCGTCACCTCCTCTGACCTTCCCCTCCTCTGACCGTCACCTCCTCTGACCTTCCCCTCCTCTGACCGTCACCTCCTCTGACCTTCCCCTCCTCTGACCGTCACCTCCTCTGACCGTCACCTCCTCTGACCTTCACCTTCTCTGACCGTCACCTCCTCTGACCGTCACCTCCTCTGACCTTCCCCTCCTCTGACCGTCACCTCCTCTGACCTTCACCTTCTCTGACCGTCACCTCCTCTGACCGTCAACTCCTCTGACCTTCACCTCCTCTGATCCCTCTCCCAGTCACATGTCAGAGTGTTGTGGAGGCAGGAGCAGTTGTGATGGATGGTGTGGTGGTTGTCCAGGTGTGGCCGGGTGGACGCTCCTCCTCGAGCTGCTCCTCCTGGAGCTGCTCCCCCTGGGGGCGCTCCTCCCGGGG